GCTTCCCCATTGACTTTGCTTGTCAGAAGGTCACAAAAGCAGCTCACGTGATCCCCAAGACATTGTAACCGTCATAAATATGAACCAGTTGCCAAGCATCTGAATTTTGATCAGGTGACCATGGGGATACTGTAACAATCATAAGTGTGAGAAACAGCCATAAGTCACTTTTTTCAGTATTGTTGTAACTTTGAACTGTCACTAAACAAACTGTTGTAAGTCGAGGACTACATGTACTTAACTGTTAAGAAACCACTCGTACTGTATATACCAAATTAACTGAGCAGTCTGGAACGTTTCTCCCATACTTGTTTCCTACTACTCAAAATGGTACAAGGAGATCTACATATGATAAGTAGGGAGAGAGGACCATCTCCTCAAATGCAGCTGTTTCTGTGGGCTAAAAACAAGGTGATTTTTAAAGTGACCGTTCATTTGAACCCAGGCTTTTCTGCGGTATATATTATGTGCATTTCTGAAATTGTGTCGCAATTGTTGCAAGGGACAAGTTTACAAATGAGTCTTTATAGAATCTCCAGTACTTTTCTGAATTCCATAGTGGGCAAACTGGTTTGACTAAGCCTGTATGCCATAAAAATCCATTATTTCTACATGTTGAGAAGTTACTGTGAAAGAGAACTGAAAAAGTCACCTTTCGTTAAAAAAACAACAACAACAATGTGCACTGAAGAGGTTAATAAAACCATGATTTAAAAATGTTTGTGTTTTGATGTCTGCAGTGCTAGGTAGGTGAAATGCAATGCAGGGATGAAGTGTTATTATGTGGGAAAACCTAATTAGCCTATATCAGTATCAAATCTGAAAATTTAATAAAGGTGATTCTTCTGTGTGTGCAAATACAGAATTACAAAGGATCACGTGAAAACCTTTTTTATGATGGATCTAGCAAACAGCATGCCTTCTGCTGAATTTCTATACTGGTGCTAAATGTTTCTTTGCCATATCTCTACATATGAAATAAATGAGCAGGAGAACCTATACTATTTCAGACAAGTGACTGTCTAGCACAGGGGTAGGCAACCTTGGCTCTTTTATGACTCGTGGACTTCAACTCCCAGAATTCCTGAGCCAGCCATGCTGAGGAGAAAGGGAGAGGTTTCCATGCTGAGCCATGCTGGCTCAGGAATTCTGGGAGTTGAAGTCCACGAGTCATAAAAGAGTCAAGGTTGCCTACCCCTGGTCTAGCCTCTTCTTAAAAACCTCCAGTGATGGAGCACCCACGATTTCTGGAGGCAAGCTGTTCCACTGGTTAATTGTCCTCACTGTCAGGAAGTTTCTCCTTATTCCAGGTTGCTTCTCTCTTTGATCAGTTTCAACCATTGTTTCTTGTCCTGCCTTCTGGTGCTTTGGTGAATAACATGACCCCCTCTTCCTTGTGGCAGCCCCTCAAATACTGGAATACTGCTATCATATCTCCCCTATTTCTTCTTTTCTTTAGACTAGCCAAACCCAAGTCCTGCAGCCATTCTTCGTATATTTTAGTCTCCAGGTCTTTGATCGTCTTAGTTGCTCTTCTCTGAATTTTTTTCAAACTCTCAACATCTTTTTTGTCATATGGTGACCAAAGTTGTGGTCATTCTGTAGGAATGTGTAGTTTAGCTTTAGTGAGGAAGATATTAGCAGGAAATGTGATAGCTGAGGTCAGAAGTGGATGCTATAGCATCTTCTGCTTGGTAATTGTCATTACTGCTGGACACTTTTCTGTTCTTCTGTAATATTTAATTATCCAACACATGGCATGGTGTCGTAGCTCAGTAAATCATTGTGCTTGTTATTTTATTTCATATCACTGGCTGGAAGAGTGAAGGTTCGATGCACTGTGTAATGAAGATGTGATGCACGCTGTGTTACAGAGCTGGGATGGCACCTCTGGGTGACGTTCCACATTTAGCTTGACCTTTAGCTGATGATTGCTAACAGTTGTCTCATTTCATTTCTATTTCTTATTGTTACAGACAGATTTTGAAAAAGATGTGGATATTGCTTGTCGGTCAGGTAAGGCTGTCCGAGCACCAAATGAAATGAAATTAAAAGTAGCTTTATCCTTTTGAAGGATTTGATTCCTTTTTAACAACATGAGTGCCTACAAACCTTAAGAGGGGTTCAAAATTTGATAAAAAATAGTGTTACTGTATAAACTGAGTATGAAAAAAGTACATTTTTTTTAAGCAGGTTGGGAAAACTCAGGTGCTACAAGGTTTTAAAAACAACTTCTCTGAGACAGCATCTGAGTCTGTATATATTAAATCATCTGCATATGCAAGCACGAAAGGATTAGGAAAGAAAAGTACTTATAATTGGAGCAGAAGTTTAATTGGCAAACAAATTCATATAACTCCCACATATACATATGTATATTTTTTCCATATTCAGTTAATGCTGTGCTTGATTAAATATGGCTATAGCTCAATAAAATGCCAATTGTCATCAGTCACAAAGCACTGAGTGTAAAAGGGTAGAAAGGTCCTTTTTCTATAAGCCAAAAACTTTGCCATCAGGTTCTCACTAAAATCTAAGGGAGCAAAGATGATCCACCAGATCTGAGCTTCAATTTTTATTTATTTTATTTTTATGTATTTACTTATTCAACTTGTACAATTGCCCATCTCACATTTGTGGTTCTGTTTTCAATATAATAAAAAAAACACCAAATAAATAATGAATAAACAAAACCCAAAAATCAATAAAACACAATGACCCCCTTTAAAACCAAGTTAAGAACCCAATTAAAAATCAAATTTACAACCAAAAAACAGAAAAAGCAGGCAGGTGAAAATCTTGAATATAATCACTTAGGCAGGCTCTAAACCATAACAGCACCCTCAGGCATATTTGGCAAAACCATATTGTAGACCAGTGATGGCGAAACTTTTAGAGACCGAGTGCCCAAAAACTGGCCCCACCCCTGCTCCACCCCTGCCCCGCCCCCGTTCCGACCCCCCATCCCCTGCCCCGCCTGCCCGCAGGGCCACTCACTGCCTCCAGGGCCCGCCGCAGATCGCCCAGGCAGCCCAGCAGCGCTATGGCGGTCACGCCCTCTGCCCGCACCCTGCAGCATCAACTGTGCACAATGGAGTGTGAGGGTAGAGTCTTGTCTATGCTGCCTGGCTGCCATGTCCTTGGCTGCGCTGCTGCGCATGGGCCACGCTCAGGGGCGACTCTCCTTCGGGGGGCTGCTGGAGAGGAGGGGGTCACGGGGGGAGGCAAGGCTGGGGCAACGGCACGGGTGCCCACAGAGAGGGCTCCAAGTGCCGCCTCTGGCACCTGTGCCATAGGTTCGCCACCACTGTTGTAGACTGTAGAGCCTTTCAGAAGACAAGTAAGGTTGGAACTAATCTAAGCTAATGGGAGGAATGATGTTCAAAAGGCAGGTGCTCCACCAAAAAAGGCTGTCCTCCTGGTTCTCATCAGATGGCACTTCTTTATAAACAAGATGGGTAACATACTGGACCTGATGAGAGGAGGTAGATGTAACTGGAGAGAAGCAGTCCTGCAAATAACATGTCCCCATGTTGTTTAGGGTTTTATAGGTTATTACCAACACCTTGAATTAAACCTGAAAGCAAACTGGCATCTAATGCAGCTTGTGGAGCAGAGGTGTAATATGCACAGATCTCGGAGCACACATCGCACTGCAACATTTTATCCCAGCTGAAGCCTCTGGGTGGTCTTCAAGGGCAGCTCCATGTTGCAGTGATCCATTTGGGAAGTGTGTAACTGAGAGTAGACTTGCTTGTCCAGGAACAGGCACAACTGGCAAGGCTGTGTAGAGGTCCTCGTGGTGGCCCTCCTAGCTATAACTGTTATCTTCTCTTTAAGCAAGAGTCATGAGTTAGTTGGAAGTTAGTTCAACTTCATCCAGCTCCACAGATGATAAGACCCTAGAAACTGAAGGCCCCAAAACCCAAAGCCACTCAGTCTTGCCAGGGTTGAGCTAAAACCTGTTGTTGTCATCCAAACCTCCACCATATCCAAACACCAAGAAAGGACAGCACAGTTAATTCACTTAAGGACAGAGATACAACTGAGTATCATCAGCATACTGATGATACTTCACCCCATGACAATGAATGACTTCAACAGCAGCTTCATATAGACATCAAACAGGAGCAGAGTTCTCAACCTTGTGCTCCCCACAAATGGTAGGAGCTGAGGGCGGGACTTCACACTCCCTATCAACATTGACTGGAATCAGCCCTGGAGAAAGACAAAGAACTAGCACAATACAGTTCCACCCAGCCCCAACACTCATAGCCAGTCCAGAAGGATACCATGATAAGATGATCAAAGACTGCCAAGAGGTCAAGAAGACCAAGGATGAATGAACTACCCCATCCCACTCACAGCAGTGATCATCCAAAAGCATGATCAGTGCTGTTTCCCTCCCATACCCTGATCTGAAACCTAACTGAAAGAGGTCCAGATAATCTGCTTCATCAAGAATCCTTTGAAGCTATTTCACAACCACTTTGTCAACAACCTTTCCAAAAAAGGGGAGGTTAGAGACTGGACAAAAGTTATCAAGAATAATTGAATCTAGTGATGGTTTCTTGAGGAGTTCCTCTTGTGTCAGTGAATACATGGCAAACTGTAAATTGTTCCCGTCAATGTGCTTATATATCACTGCAAACAATACATTAATACTGTTTCATTAAGTTGAAATGGCTTTCCTAGTTTCCTTTGAATATAAACACTTGTTAATTACATCTGCACTTCACAACGATGTCTTTATCTCCCTTCCTTGGCAATTTAATGATACTGTGATTTTTAGCTAGATTTTCGAAACAGAGTCATTCATTTCAATTCCTGAAAACCAAAGGAAATGTGATACTACTTTCCAAAACATGTCTGCTTAAAAAGGATTAGGGAGAAGCACTCTATTGAAAAAGACAGTTTTATGGTAAATATGACCAGGTTTCATTATTAAAAATTAAAGATTTAAAATTTGACGCTCTAAATGAAAGATTTAATAAAAGGTGGCTGGCTGAAATGATTTGACATCTGCACTTAGGAAAAATCTAATGACAATTTTCTCAAATGGATTTTTATCAATTTCCGTTAAGAATTACATTACAAGAAGATTTGAAATGGTCTAGTCCCTCTCCTCTATATCCTTGCTTCGAGGCAAATAGTTTTTTTTTGTTTAATTGAAAATAGAAAAGCAATCACACATCTTCTAATAGAATAATTTGTCACCACGTATAACTCTCAGTAATTATACATGTTATAATATCAAGACTACCCTTGATTTCAGCTACCATAAATGGAAAAGAGGGAAGAAAAAACGGAGTGGATCCTAAAATAAATCACTTTCTCTAACAATTTAATCCTAAATGGTTGTCCTTTTCTTTGATATATATAATGTCATAATTGCTTTGTTTAAAACTTTTCAGCCTTCCTCAACTTGGCCCCCTCCTTTGTCCAGGCTGAAAGCAGGTTGAAAATTCGGGAATTGTAGTTTCTCCTCATGGCCAAGTTGAAGAAGGTTGATCCAGCACCAGTATGAGTAAAGACATTCTTTCAGATGGAATCCAGCTTCTAATTTCAGAGGTGTTTATCAATTTGTGCTCCTACTCTTTAATTCACAGTTCTCCATAAGGACATTGGGCCATGCCGAGCAGCTACGATAACAGGCACCCTATCTAGAATCTCCCTGAATGATGATGAAGAAGACAAGCCAGCCAACCCTGAAGGAATGAACTATTCCACATTGCCTGGGAATATAATTTCTAAAGTGATCATTCAGCAGTCGGGAGGCATGCATATGCCCATGAGCATGAGTGAATTAGCTAACCAGTGTCTTAAAAAAGACAACACTGAGCTACGGCGAACTGTCTATTTATGTACTGATGACAACCTGAGAGGTGCAGACATGGATGTAGTCCACCCTCAGGACCGCATGATGGAGAGTGACTACATTGTCATGCCTCGAGGTTCAGTGAACACACAGGCATCGCTGAAGGATGACAGCAAGTTGAATCTAGGCATGGAGACCTTGCCTCACGAAAGGCTTTTGCACTACAAAGTTAATCCTGATTTTAGTATGAACCCAAATGTAATGGACCAGTTCAGTATGAGTTTAGATCAACATCTCCCCACCCAGGAACACATGCAGAACTTGTCTTTTGAACCTCGTACAGCTGTAAAGAATTTCATAGCTTCCGAGATGGACGATAGCACAGGACTAGCAAGAAGCGAAACTGGATCAACCATATCAATGAGTTCTTTGGAGGTTAGTGATGTAGAAATGGAGTGCATGCATCCTGTTTTTATTGTGTCAAAGACAGATGAGGATGGCTTTCTCTCTCACACATACACACACACCAAAGACATGCAGCATGCAACTGTTTTCTCATGCTGCTGGACTGTCAACCCTACACCCTACGAGGTAGACCAGATCAGGAAACCAACTTCACAAAAAGATTAAAACTATACTATATTGAAATAGGCTGTAGTATCAGACTCTTGCAAGGTTGTCTGTGTTTCCCTTCCTTCCCTCTATTCCTATCTCTCTGGGCTTAATGCATGTTTCTGCACTTATTGTTGTACTAATGCAGGGGTCTTCAAACTCGGCCCTTTTATGACTCATGGACTTCGACTCCCAGAATTCCTCAGCCTCATGCCTGGCTGAGGAATTCTGGGAGTTGAAGTCCATGAGTCATAAAAGAGCCAAGTTTGAAGAGCCCTGTGCTAATGGCTTATGGAGAGTTTTTCTTATCTGACAGTAATTTTATAAAAAGATTTTTAATTACAGAACTAAGACAAACTAAACAATAACTGATAAAAAGTAAAAAGGGAGGTGCAGGAAAAAAAAGGTAGGGAAATAGACATAGAAATAGAAAAGAGAAAAATATTAGGAAAAATAAATATATATATATACAAAGAAATGACTTCCCCCTTTATGATGACAGGTATAAACAATTTTAGTAATGTATCATCTTTTCTTAAAATATAACAAATGATTTCCTTCCCACATCTCCTCTCCTATATATAAACAAATCCATAAAGTTATTGCTTCAGTTCTGATGTCACCAAAAGTCCATTAAGGGTTACCAGAGATAATATCTATTTTAATATAATATAAACCAACTTTATATTCTTTCCTTTTACTTCTAAGAATCTAGATCTTTAGTCGCTTCAAATAATGTGATAGAATTTTATTTCTTTTCATTTTTTTTCTTTATTATTAGCCTGGTCATACTATTAGACAGTGTGATGAGGCAAAATGTGCATTGTTTGATTGTTGTATTTTTGCTTGAATGATGGGAAGAGGCTTCTATGATTCAGGGGCTAGGCCTTGCCTCTTGTACAACTTGATTGGCTTTGCATACAATGCATCTTGAGCAGTGGTTCTCAACCTTTTTAATGCCACGACCCCAACCGGTCATAAGTCGAGGACTAAACCGGTCGTAAGTCGAGCACTAAACCAGTCGTAAGTCGAGGACTAAACCGGTCGTAAGTCGAGGACTACCCAACCGGTCGTAAGTCGAGGACTTTCCCTTCCCGGGAGCGCCGCACATGCGTGGTTCCGCCCCCTGCGCCGGCCGAGGTCTAGCTGGCAAGCGGCAGAGACGGAGCAGGCCAACCACCAGCTGGCCCAGCTCAAGGGAGGTAAGGCACCTGCCGGAAAAGGGGAAAAAAATGGCGGACAGCCTTGCTTGGCGACCCCCGTGAAATGGTCGATCGACCCCAAATGGGGTCCCGACCCATAGGTTGAGAACCGCTGATCTTGAGTATCTTGAAGGGACCTTTTTAAACAGAAATAGAATTGGTCAAGAGAGGTTCTAATTTATTGCCTATGTTTATCATAAGTACATATTTCTGTATATATGTTATCATTAACGTATGAAATTAAGCATTTTATACAATCCCTAGGAAGTCTATAGAATGCCAAAAATGGAATATCAAAGTAGGAAACACTTACTATTTCACACATTTCCTAGGCATCCGATGCAATGCTAAAAGGCAAACAAGCAAAGTATAAAATACTCCCACTAAAATGTCATTCTAGCCTCCCTTGTTGCAACAGGTAAATCAATATGGGTCTTTTTCACTTGGTTTTTTTCCCCCAGAAAGTCCTATAATGGGATTTCAAGATTTAACTCACCTTAAAAATAAGTATTGTTATTGTTATGGGCTATAAAAGACAAAGTTAAGTCAGACTGTTGAGGGCTGCACCAATGAAGAGTGGAAGGGATTGGGAAATGGGGAGCAAATGGAAACCCTTCTAGGCAAAAGAACAAAGAGAAACTAGTCATGTAAAGGAAGCAGAAGAATGGAAGAGAGAGTATAAAGTATCACCAGATCTTACGGGGTGCCTGAAAGAAGGCAAGAAGAGTTAGAGCAGCACTTAAAACCCAAGGCAAGGAAAACAGGTCCTTCCACAACATTATAAGGTTTTCTTAGGCTAAGTTATAGGAAGCAATAGAAGGAGAATAAGAACGAGGTTTCGGCTTTCCAGCATCAAGTCCAGTAGAACATCTGCCTCAGAATACTTTCCTTCCTTTAGCATGTCTCTAAAATCATTGACAATATTGAAAACCTTATACATTTATTTGTTTTGTTCACAAGGATAACATTTCCTTATGCAGGTCGACAATAATTTCTTTTCTTGCTGCTTCTTAGACCCAGCAAATGTTAAGTGATGGTTAAGCATTCTAAGTCATGTACATATTGGCATTCAGAACAAGAGCCGGCATGGCAGAACTATATCTGTGTCCCTCTTTTGTCTCTGTAATATCCCTTATGTATGAAGGAAAATCTATTAAAGCAACGTTGATAACTAGAAATAGCACGTCTAGAGAGCAAAGCATGAGACTAGAAGCAACTCTATTTCTGATTTGCTTTGCATTTCAATTATCTTTGCATTTCAATTATTTTCTTATCAGTTTGCTCCACCTAGAAGGTGAAAGAAATACTTCAACTAATATATGAGAAAAAAGAAAATATTCAGATTTTTTTTTTTAAAAAAAAAATCAGCCTATTCCATTTCATAGCACACTAAGGACTTAGATACAACCATATTGAGCTGGCATTTGTATTATAGATGGATATGCCACATCTGTGGAGGAATGTAGTCTGGAGTTGCAGGAGGGAGGGGCTTTTTCCCGGAGGGCAAAGAGACAATGGAGCTTGGAATGTCTGGTGGGCAGGAAGAGAACAAGGCTGGACCCTCCCTAGCAATCCACACCGTATATCTATAGTTATTTCAGTTAATTGTTTTAGTCTGGCAAGATTCTGTTTGTAAGCAGAAAGCAACTACTCAGAAGTAACTCCAAGTGCCATTCTCAGTTGCTTGGACCTGACAACATCTACTGAAATGTCTGTTTTTTGGTATGTTCCTCCTCAGTCAAAAGAAGGACTCACTCGATGTTGCCACTGGGTGTGCATTTAGACAGATGACATGTTTCTCAATGCTCAATGTAATCATAACCCCAACTATCTTGATAGCTTTTTACATAATTTACATTGCCATATTATCATTACTTCCGCGCAGTTAATTAGTCGTGTTAGTAAAGGGCACTGGTGTGATTTGTGGCCTCTGCTCATCCATTTTAAAATCTGAAAATGCAACACCAATGATTGTTAGATGCATAATAAAAGTGAGAAAAGAGTGCCAAGGCAATCAAGGGAATTGTGCAACTAGGAAATTACTTACCAAACCCTAATAATGCAAGCAGAACTTCCAGCTCCTGGTTTCAGCAGCAATTCTGAACAAATTCTGAGTTTTCAGGATCCATTCAGAGTATTTTCTACTTAAAGAAGAACATAGAAAATGAACGATTTATTATTATTTATTTAGAACAATTAACCAGTGGAACAACCTGCCTCCAGAAGCAGTGAATGCTCCAACACTGGAAGTTTTTAAGAAGAAACTGGACAGCCATTTGTTCGAAATGGTGTAGGGTTTCCTGCCTGAGCAGGAGGTTGGACTAGATGACCACCAAGGTCCTTTCCAACTTTATTATTATTATTATTATTATTATTATTATTATTATTATTATTATTATTATTATTATTGTTGTTGTTGTTGTTGTTGTTGTTGTTGTTGTTGTTGTTATTATTACTGCAAGTATCAAACGAACATTGGTGAATTAGACATACAGTAATTGTAGAAAATGTAGGTTTATTATTAAACATATAGTCACGTACAGCAGAAAAAAAACTTGTAATATGGCTTATTTAACAGACATTTCCCTCCTTCCTTTGGCTCCTAAGAATCAACAACTGTAAGAAAATAATATCCTATAATGATATATACCAGTGATGGCAAACCTTTTAGAGACCGAGTGCCCAAACTGCAACCCAAAACCCACTTATGCATCGTCGGGTGCCGGGTGGGTGTGGCCTATTGGGTGGGTGTGGCCCACTGGGTGGGTGTGACCCACTGGGTGGGCATGGCTGTAGTGGTGACAGCAGACTGGGTGGAACTAAAAAGTTCAATCAATTCCAACTTTGCAAGATCTTTTTTTTCCCCGCAAGAATTTGAAATTGACTGATTGATTGAACCTTTTTTTTTTGTACACGGCGGCAGAGGCCTAAAGCAAAAAGGTTTTATAGAAACCAGCTGAAGGTCTAGGACTAGGACGACGGTGTGCATGCCCACAGAGAGAGCTCTGAGTGCCGCCTCTGGCACCCGTGCCATAGGTTCGCCACCACTGATATATACATATGGAGATGTAAATGTTCACTTAGTGCTTCAGTAAGTACATTATTTAGCATGGATGGACAACTCAGCATTCTCTAAAGTCACCCAAATTGTTTAGATACCTCAAGAGTGTGTTAACAATCAAATAGGTGCCTTATACTGACAAAGGTTGAAGGCACCCATTGCTCAATTACAAAACTTCAATTTTTCCCAAATCAAAATGGTTTTTTCCAATGGACTACAGGTAGTCCTCAACTTATGACCAGAATTGAGCCCAATGTTTCTGTTGCTAAGTGAGACAGTTGTTCAATGAATTTTGCCCCATTTTACAACCTTTCTTACAACAGTTGTTAAGCGAATCATTGCAGTTGTTAACCGAATCATTGCAACACACTTGTTAAGTGAATCTGGCTTCCCCATTGACTTTACTTGTCAGAAGGTCACAAAAGGGGATCACAGGAACCCAGGACGCCGTGACCGTCATAAATATGAGTCAGTTGCCAGGTATCCAAATTTTAATCATGTGACCATGGGGATGCTGCAAAGGTTGTAAGTGTGAAAGGTCTGCAGGCAGAAATGGGCTG